GCAAAACACCTTCAGTTCAGGGTTTCAATTGCTTTGAAGGGCTTTCACCTGCCATAACCTAACTGCACCAGCTGCAAGCAGTGGCTCCAAAGGAGCATGAGCACAATGAGGAAGGCATGAAGAAAGAGCCATGCAGCACCTCCAGGGCAGCCAAAGGCAGTTCAAGTCTGAAGCCAAGAGCAGGGGTGACAAACCCATCCCAGGCAAAGGAGAAGCACCATGCAGCTCAGCTCGCTGCCTGGGGAAGAGCAGCCGTTACAGAAGAGATGCAGAGACCGGGAGAAAGCAGACAGGGAAGTCTCTGTCTATCGACCAGGCAACTGATTCACACTCTGGTGGCCAGCAGAGGCCATGCCAGACTGATGGGCAACAGGGATGTCTTCAGTGGAGCATGGTCCCCACTCCTCAGCCATCTCCAGTGCTATGGGCAGGAGCAGCAGTGGGCAGCACAGCAGTTAGCTGCTCTGTGGGTTTCAGTCCAAGAGGGCTCCATCCTCACTTGTGCAGGGGATTAAAAATGGCAGAAGGAACTCACAAGGTGATGGGACCAAGTGGTGCTGCCGATGGCCACTGGGAGAGTCCAGAGGCTGCAACCACTGTTGGGACAAGCCTAGAGGAAGCATGAAACCAGTAGAATATGGCTGCTGGAGGCTCCCACCTTGCAGATGCTGCCAACACAGCTCATTTTACCACCTGCAGCCCTGCAGCAGTGGCTGAGGCTCAGGGGCAGATCTCTGTTGCTTCTGCAGCTCCAGCATCAACCTTTGCAGCTGCTGGTCTGCAGCAGGATACAGCAGCTGTGTGCTGGCTCCAAGCCACCCACTGTCCCTTCGAAAGGAGCCAAGAGCACAGAAGAGAGAGGGGAGTAAAACCGTCCTACGGGTGGTAACAGCAGTAGCATGTGATCCCAGAGAGTCCCAAACGCAGGAAGCCTTTCCTAGGGCTGGGACACCAAGGCCTCTCTTCTCCAAAAGCAAAGCCAGCAAGGAACAAGCTTGGATGAATCCAACTGCTTGGCCAAAAAGCTGCAGGTTTGGAAGAGGTTTGCCCCTGAGAGGCCCAAGCACTGCCACCAGGAACGAGCTCCAGCCCAGGAGGAGTGCTTGCACCTGGGCTGGCTGATGGCCATTGAGCAGGAGCCTGGGAAGGGCAGAGCCCAGTGGCTGCAGCCCTGCTTCAAGGCAGCTAACAGCCGTTTTGTTATAAATTATATCCATTGGGGATTTTAGTTTGGGAATGTGAGACCGTCCCTGGAGAGATTCAAGCTGAAAAACCCTGGCCCAAGAGCAACCCTTACCAGATGCTTGTGAAGAAGCCTGTGCTGTGTTTTGAGGAGAAGAAGGTATCCCTGCTGGTGAGGCCAAAATGTCACTTGCTTTATGTTAGGTGACTTGCTACAAAGTGCAAGGATTCTTCCTGTGCAGATGACCATTAAAAACATAAGTAAATAAAATCAGTGTACACAGCAAAAGGCATGTTATTCATCTGAAAACACCTATGGAACATTCTAGTGTGGAGCTTCCCATTTTTATTAACATCAATTCTGTTAGGAAACAATGAAACCCCTTTAACTGCATCATATGAGCTCACCTGACCTTTACACCTTGCTGCTCAAACACCGAGTGTTTGCAACAGGAAATGACTAAATCAAGCCTAGCAGCATATAAGGTACGGCATCTCAAAACACAGGACAGATACATTCAGCTTGCTGCCATGGATAAACAGTTACTCGTGAGCACTACTGCTCACACTGTGGTACTACATGGATCTGGAAGCAAAAGGATGCAGTGGGAAAACAGATTTAAGGGACTTTCTCTGTAGGTGACCCCCCTGGCACAGCAGAAATGCACACCAGAGCTTTCACTGACATGAAGCAGAAAGGCCTCACGTCAGCTTTGCACATGACAACAGTTCAGGCACAAACCAAGCTGCTGGGTTTTATCTTCACCTGACACTGCTCAGTTCTAGTTGTCAGCCAAGCCTGTACTAGCCATAGCATCCCTGCACAAGTAGTTGTTCGTAGTTCAGCTGCGCTGCGGGTCCTCCCAAAGGCAGAAGCCAACTCCAGTGATCACTGTCTGACTTTCAGACAGCTCTGCTTTTGTTTTTAAGCCCCAAAACCATGCACAAACCTACCCAGGAAGGTAACACAGCAGTTCCTAAAGCTATTTTATTATCCTAAAATAGAGTAACTATTCCTGCCCTCTACCTGTATCTCCAGTGTCCTTGTCTCTTAAGAAATTTTCACACACAAAACCCCTGAAGCAGGATATATATTGAGCACAGACATCCATAAACACAAGGGTAGCAGGCTGGCTTCAGTTACTTGTCAGGACCACTGGGTGTATCCTACAAATACTGCAGAACAGAACAAACCCATGCTGGTGTATCTCAACATGGCACCCTCTGCAATTAAAACCACCTTCCCACATTCCTTGTCTCCCCAAGATCCCTTACAAGACTCCTTTCAGTTAAGGAAATAAAACCAAGCACATCTCTGCTTCCTTCACCTTCCCTAGCCATTGCCAATCAGGATGTTTTCCAACTGCTTCTCTTCCCACCTAGTTACTTTTTCTGCTGACCCATTCCCTCCTCTCCCATCTCATCCCTCCACTTGCTCCCCCACCAGCCAACACGAGTGACTCCACCAGCCAAGCCCAGCTCCTACCCCATACACCACCCACTGCAGAAGAGGGACTGATGTTTCATACAGTACAGTTCAGAGAAATAGGAATTTGCATCCAAGTGCAATATGTTTTAATGAGAAGAATAAAATTAAAAATAAATGAAAAAGGATTGTGTCACATGAGACAATGCTGAGATGCCCAGAACATTTTCTTGCCAACAAATGAAGGACACCCTGAAAAGAGAGCACCAGCACACTGGCATCACGGTGCTACCTGGGATGAGGAGCCTTATGTCTCACCTGAAAGAGGTATTTCAGTGGCACAGAAGTACAGCTACATTTCCAAGGTCAGCTTTGTAGACCTAAAGTTTGCTAAATGCTGCTGAAAGACTACGAGAGACTACAAGAGAGTTAAAGACATTCCAGTTGTGCCTGAAGAAAAAAAGAACTTAAAATGGCATTTTCTCCAGTATGACAAACATTCCAAGCAGCAGAGGACTGACTGGAACTTCTGCGGGGCAGGAGAGCAGCCTGCAGCTACAAGACTTCAAGATTTATTTACTTTAAACTTTATCAGCTGATGCAGCTGGACAAGCACATCTGTAACACCACTAACGACACAAGGTTTTGATACAGTGGCATTTTGGGGGAGGCAGTATGTATTTAAACAGGAAATCTGTCAATATGAAGTACTTGTATCTTACCTGAAAATGATTCCTTGAAAAACAGCTTATCCTTTTAAAGGCCAATACAATTATGTATTATTTTAATGTTAATGCTAAAAGAAGATAGAAAAAGCATATTCACAATGTCAACACTTCAGTTGGAAGACTGTATTGCTATCCAATGATGCTGTCTGCCCTGGTTTTGGGTCTGTTTAAAAAAAACCAACATGAATTTTATCCACTTGTTAGCTGGGTATAACCACCATCCATAGCTATATCAGAATAAGACAAGTTATAGGGACACAGCTCAATGGCATTAGACTATTGATGTAGTACATACCACACAGCAGTATCATGAGGGGGTTCATACTTGTCACAGAACACCTCAAGGCACTTGGCAAATCCTGTTCTTGCCACTTAGAGTGAAATATGCCCCAAACCTGAAGGAATCTGCAGGCACTGTTGTCAGCTTCCCTACCCAGAGGCTGGTATATCTTGTTTTCCTCTCAAAGGACATGAAATAAGGTGAACATCCAGAACAGCTTGCCCTACCTGCCACCTGCAGTTCAAACACCAGAAGACAGCCAGCACCAATCCTTCTCCAGCGAGGTTCAGTCCCTGTGTCCGGGTTGTCTTGGATTTGAGGGGGGAACATCATTGGACCCCACATCACTACAGTTCACCTCTAGAGAGATTTCCGTACCTGTAACCCTCAACTTATGCTGTACTACAATGTTTTCTAATCAAATAATGTAACATCCAATTCATCAAAGTAAGGAAGTCACTTGTTTTCTTTTTCACTGAACCGTGGTGAAAAAAGGTCACTGTTTTATTCAGCATCAGTCACATAACAGTTGTCTGTTTCTATTACTAGAAAGAATTTATTAAAATAGTCCTGAAAGACAGCTTTTCTTTCTCCAATGATTTCAAAACTATGCCTTTGAATGCCAATTCCACACAGTCACGGGATTGATCGGTAGTAGTCAGTTATAAGCAATCGTCAAGGCACAAGCTCAGCTCTGCACATCCGCTGCAGCTTGTATTGGAAAAAAGAGATATGCCACTTGCATCCTCACTTAAAAACGCATAATCCCTTTGTCATACACTGCAACAGGAGAAATTAACATTAAACACAGACTACGAAAGGTAAAGGATTTATTTCTGATATGATTTGTAGAGTTAAATTAAAAACCTACTGAATACTTTATGTAGTAGATGAACATAACCTTAGTACTTAACTTTCTAACAGTTTAATTAACGGTTGGAAGTGTACAACATGAAGTAGGCCTTACGTTTAATATTGTTCAATTTTGCTTACTGTTAGATGAGATTAAAATACAGTAGCCATCCCTTTAGATTATGTTGCAACACTGATCATGTGCCTTGATAAGTAGGAACAATAAGTCATTAAATAAACGGTGATGACATAACATGTAGGGAAGACTTTGGATTGTCTATTTAAAATGTCAACGTAATAGGCAATTAAGAAGAAAACTTCATTTTAAGTGCACTTCCACATGCTTTGTTTATAATAAAGCAAAAACTTCCTATCTCTTGTCCAAACACTTCACTCCCTACTCTAAAGCTGTTCAGTTGAAAATGCACTTTCCCCAGTAAACATCTTTTTAAAAAAAGTAACTAAAATTTCTACCCTTTCTTATGCTAAGAAATGTTTCCTAATTAGAAAACACAGTTTATTACAAGACATGTGTAGGCAACATATAGTGAAATGAGATTTAATTGTTGTGCTGTGACTAAAGTAAAGTTCTCAAGGCTGCAATTTAACATTCCAAGTTCTCCCTTCCGTCTTTATTGATTCTTAAGATTTTGCACAGAAACTCTTTGGGGGCTAGAACAGCAGTAATTGCATCACACTGTTTTCCAAGACTTCAAGTTTCAAAAGCAAACTCTTCAAAAAGTACAGTTCTTGATTTGATTAGATACAGGGACAAAAATATAGCACATACTTGAAGGTTACATGGTCTACAAATGATGGCAATATTTTCCTTGGGAGAGTACAGTTTGTTTTCTTGTAAATACTCAAAAAGGCTCAACTTCAAGCAGTAATAAACACAAGCAAAAGTGATTTAACCCTTAAAATAAATATTCAGGAAAACCTCTCTGTACATACAAGTGAAAGAATATGTAACACTTTCACGCTAAAAGAAAAAATAAAGATTTTGTTCATATAAGCAGCTGAAATCTGCTGTTCCAGCCCAATGTCCCCAGTAAAGAAGGGAGGCACAAACACAGGTGACTACTGTAGCTCACTATCTTATGGCCTTTTTAGACAGGGACATCATCACCATCATTTTTTAATCCCTTTTTTTATATACTTTTTTCTATTTTGTTATATTCATTACAGCATGCCAAATCCTTTGGCATATGTGATGGCCTTCAATAATCTCTCCTTAAGCTTTTCTTTGCTTGAGTACTCCGGAAGCAAAAGTACATTAAAGCATGTGTGAGATGTAGGTAACCTGTGGGGAAAAAAAAGGGAAAAAGAAAAACAAGAATTCAGATCTGGGAACATGCAGTACTTGCAAAGAAACACATCGCTCTTTCACAGATCCAAAATAATGAATTTAAAGAGAATCCACTTTGCTTAAAGATTCAACTGTCCGGATTTAATTAAGTTAACTTAGAAGCAAATAATTTGCTTCCATTTATAAACAAACAAGAAAAATGTAGACTTTTTTTTCTTTTACCTCTCTGTATCTGGGCCATTTTTGGCTATGATCATCTTTAACTTTCCAAGTCCTCCCACAGGGGCTCTGTCTGTGCCTGTTGTAAACTGTAAGAATAGCCTTTTCTGTTCGTCTGTAAATGAATGGACAATTTCCCAGAATTCCCTATGAAGGAAGAAATCAAGAAGTGAACTGAAATCTGGTATAAATGAGACTCTTGGAAGTAACTGAGCTTTGAATGTTTAGTAATCCTTATCAACCCTAACAGCAAGTTTACAAGTTGCATTCATAAACCAAACCAGTAACTTCTTTACCAATCAAATGCGATTCAGAAGTAGAAATCAGAATTATTACCAAAACACTACAGTGTAACTGCTTTAAAATGTTAATTTGGCTGATAAATGAAGAATATTTGCAGATCATTTAATTTAGGATTCCCATTTCCTAAGGAATTATACTGGTTTCACTACAATGTCCATTTCTACCACCATCTTAAACAGTACAGTAAGCAAACACAGCTGCTGCCAAGGTTTTCTCCCCTAGCAGGAATTAGTTATGTAGTTGTCAAAGTCTAGAGCACTCAAATGCACACTTCCCTAACCTTTGTCTTCAGAGTTCTCTAGTCAAAGGGGACACAAAAGTAGAAACATCAAAACCACTGAATTTACTTGATTTCTAATTAGAGCAGAATGGTTTACATATGCAACCTATCCAAACAGTTCAGTGTGATTTCATTTTTTTTTTTAAACAGTAGCAAAGCAGTGGTTATTTATTGAAACAGCCCTGTTTATACTGGGGATTATTTAACTGTATGGTATGAGACACAAAAACCGAGGGAAAAATCCCTCTTAATCTTTACCAAAGTTCACTGGAAGCTAAAGACAGTACTTACAACTATGTGCTCTTTCCTAATGACAGTAACTTGAGTAAAGCGGAATTATACATAAGACACTTGAATCTCCAGCAGTACAAAAACACTACATGTAACAATACTATGAAGAAACAGCCATGTCAAGTGCTTTTTATGTTTCAGAAATCAGAAAAAAAGTAATTTACCTAATAATAAGAGAGTCTCTGGTATAGCCACCATCATATTCTGTAGTTTCTTCTAGTGCTTGAAAATCTAAATTCTGTAAGAAGATGACATTTTTTAAAATGACCACTAGTTAAGTACTTAGGATCAAAAAAGCTCCACTTTCTGATGCACATTCAGGATTCTTACCCTACTTCCACATATAAGTAATTCAATTTCCTCTGGTCTAAATAAATATTTCAAAGGAGATTCATTGGTCACCATGTGGAATCCTCTCCGAAAGGCCTTGAACTGCTTTTCTACTGATTTATTGAGTATATAGTCAGCATACAGATTGACAAATTCCTGTAAGGAAACAATCCCCAAAAAAACCTTAGTACTTTGACACATGCCACTTGAAGTATCTCCAAAAAATGTAAGACCCCGAAATACATGTAATTTTATGCAGATTACTACCTGGATTCAGCTTCTACTCAGCAATAACACAGAACAAATCTCACATATTTCTCAGACAGGTCAAACACCACATCCAGAAGCTACAAATCCATACATCAATGCTTTCTTTAAAAGGTAAGCCTTTCCTGCTTACAATTATACTGTGCTATAGCAATTAAAAAAGGCTTTTAAGCTCAAGTCAGGAGTGAGACCAAACCTTTGTAGTGCTACACAATTCTGCATACAGTATCTAAAAATTACAGATTACATTAAAAATCATTCAAATGTACCTTTCTATTTTCATTTGTAATAGGAATTTTATCACCGTTTTCCTTTAAATCATGCATCATTGGATTGCCAAAGAGATCCGTGTGAGATATTTGAAACGTTATCATCATATCATCTTCCACACTTCCTTCATACTCTAGCAAGTCTCTCAAGCTCTGGTAAAGAACCTAGAGAAAAAAAAACCCACAAACATCATAAACAAATTTCAGGATTTCACTGAGTAATACCAAAAGGCATAAAATCATCTGCTCAAAAAGGGTTATTGCATTCTGTAACACAAGTCCCCCAAGATCTCCCATGACAGTCCAAACAAAAGTATGTTAACCTCAGTGTTTGAAAGAACCAATAGCAGATATTAAGGAAAGATAAAAAAGAAACATGGCAATGAATGATAAATCCCTTAGAAGAGCCTACCAGTACATAGGAATATTCCTAAACGCAATGGTCAAACCTGTAGCTAAGAGCCACTGATTACCTCTTTACCATTCAACTCTCTTGAAACTGTATTTATTTTTGGCATCCAGAACACGTTACACTAGTAGGTTGAACGCACATGTATTAAAATCAAAGAAAATGCTGTATCTTATATCAGCTAAACTCCAGGCAGCAAGCTTCTGCCTTCTACATCATGATTTAAACCACAAACGAACTAGGAAGCAATCCTGAAGCAACAGATGGGCAGTCATTAAGGTAAGAAAACATTTATGCACAAATTAAAAAAAACCCAAACAATTAAAATCACAAGTTAAGTCAGAATTTGCCAAGTGGAACCTGAAATTAACTGCAAGAGCTTGCTCTATTCAAAGGAGTAACCAGCCTTCCTCCATGCTATGCCTCAAGAAAAGCTCAACACTCTTTCAGAAACCAAAGGCTACGCACAAAAGGAACAATTATTTGGCTGTGGCAGAGGTGCAGGACTCAAGAATGCAAAACAAAGGAAAAGCAACAACTGAGTGCACCTGTATTTTTTATAGTGAAGTAGAAATAATAAATTTCTCCTCAATGTTTCAATTATTAAGAGTTTACATGTAAGCCTCATCCTTTCACTAAATATATCCTTTTGATTCTTCCACAGCACCTTTAAAATACCTTGCATTGACAACGGCTGGACTTGGAACTGCTGGTGTGAGGGCTGGTGAACACCATATCCTCCATGCTCTAGCAGTTGGACTCAATATTAAAGGTCTTTTCAAACATAGCTGATTTTATGATTCTACTCATCTTTTTTGAGTAACTGAAGATTTGCATAAGCACTTATGAAAAGGGAAATGAAATGAACCATTTCAACTCATATTAGCTAGCATGTGAGAAAGTTACTGGTGATTTTTCATTGCAGATGAAGCAGGGAAAGTCACCCTGCACAGCTGCTTCTGTGCTCTAAAACACACGCATGGCTTAGTGCTTTTGTATAGCCACTGGATGGGGAGAGGTAGGGAAGATGGGTACTGATCATTGCTCCCAAACTGTGCAGATATTCAGACTGCACTGCCTCATCTGTCTTTTGCTTTAAGACAAAAAACCAAAACCAAACCCCAAGTGCATCACACCTTTTTTGCATGTCTACTGTTACTTTCATATTTGTTGTAAAAATCTACAAATAGATATAACCAGCCTAATTTTAGAAGTATTTTTGGGAAGATACTATGAATAATAGCTAATGCTTAGTGATATTAAACAATTTAGGTAGCATGTAAAAAAATGTAACAAAGCTTTACTGATGCCCAGCCCTATTTGTTGACTTGACAATTCTTCTTCCTCCAAGCCAGATGTAGTAAGAGATTTTACTGTTTATGAATTTATTTAACAAATACAGAGTCTTTACACAAGTCACTGGTTATTTTGCTTCCACTTCTGACAGTGATCTTGTATTTGCATTATTTGTATTTGTTGCATGACAAATGCATTAATAAACTCAAAGAACATAATGAACTTACAGGATGAGAATCTGCCAGATCACGGAAAGTTCCTTTTTTGCCCATTAGCTTCCTGTAGACAACCATGGGAAAATGTACGTCCAGTATACAGTTATTGTAAATAGCCAGCCCCAGTACTATGCCAATCAGTGTAAACTGACCCTCGGTTTCAAAAGAGGACGGATTAAACCAAAACAGTTTTGTAGATTCATCATATGTGAACATGCCTGTAAGAAAAATGAAGTTGAACAATCATGGCTACATTTCAATAAAAATGACACGTAAAACATACCATTACAAACACATTTGCATTAGAATGTCTCTAAAACACGCTTAGCTTAACATTATAGTGAATTTAATGTGAAGAGAACCTGCCTACTTTAGGGTAATTTGAGCTGCTCAAAATACTGTTACTAACATTACTATTTAAAGTATGCAGGAGACCTGTGATACAACATCCTGCAATGCCCACCAAACCTGTACGTGCACAGCCTTTCATTGCCTTCCATTACTGAGGAACCAGAAGCACATAGTCAACATACACTGTAACTCTTGATAAATACAACAGGGCAAGAAAATAAGTCAAAACACATGTGGATGAAATAATCCTGAAGAACTCCAATTACTACAAAGTGGCAGCCTTTCCTTAAAGGCTTTTCCAGGTCAGTTGAAGCAAAGGAACAGGACCAGATGCAGCCCTATTACTGAATTGGAAGCTATGAGAAAAGGGCATGGATTAACCATCACATATAATCTTAGATCCCCAACACATTTGGGTTTTGTTTGTTAAAGGTACTTGGCAAAGCCCACTGTTGCTGCAGCTATCACGTACATCTGAACTTGAGGAGAAAATGTTAACATGAGACTGTGTTTCACAGGAGAAGATGCAACTTTTAACAGCTTATCACCATTGAAAGCAAAGAGGTTGTGCTTTGTTCCCCTGTCCCCTTCATCTGATTTTCTGCAAGTCCACAAACTAAGTACCTTTACAGAAGTCTTCAACAAACGGCTGAACTGGCACATGCCAGGAGCTACAGGGAGCGGATACGACTGTACAGACAAGAGAAGGATAACCCCTTACTCTTTTGGCTGTAGATTAGCTCTTGTTTATGAAATTCAAGTTTGTGCATAGGCTATACACTATTTAAATGAACCCTATAGTAAAATCCTTTTCCTTACTAGATACTAAAACAAGATAAATTCACACCCCATAGACTTAAGGGGACAAAGAGACTAGTATAGTCACAGTGACCTTTTACAGCTTGATCTCATGATTTCCAGGCAGAGCCTAAGGAAAAGTGTCCAGGCTCCTTCCTCCCAACACAACAGAATTTAGATGCACATGGTCAACAACATGAACTACGTTTGCCACAAGGATTTATCTTGTCAGCTCTTAAAAGATATGCTTATTTACAGCCTATTGAGATGGTACTAACTGATTACAAAGCCACAAACAGAGTCACGGTATTACTCCCAAGTCTAAAAATGTCACCTTCAGCCAACAGATAAAGCCTGAATTCTCATTCAGTGTAAGGAAATGAACTGCAAACTCATTCAGAGACTGGCTATTCCCCAAAATTGAAGATTATTTATCACAGTAAGATACGAGGACAGGGCTAGCTATTAGGGGAAGCACATAAATAACAAGACTAACATCAGGTAAGGAAATCAGAAATGGATAAGCAACACAAACATACATAGGGGAAACATTAAAGAGAACCCTGCATTCCATTTTCTGAGTTGACTGAAGTAACTTCTGGATTACTGGCAAAATAAAAGCAATTACTTGTACTTTCTGGAAGATAACGGAAGAGTTAAACAGTCAAAATAAACAACTCCAGCAAATGTCCAATATTTAAGGATTAACACTTTACCCAGACCAACATCTGGAAACACTTTAATGTGAAATACAGCACTTTATTCATTGACCAAAACTAAGACTATAATACATTAAAATAAAAATGAAACACCAGAATAAAATGGAAGCTTCAATAAGACAAAACCAATTGTATAGCATTGGTTGGAATAGTGTATGAAGTTATTTCTTCTTCCCTTTTACCATGGTGACTGTTGGTCATAAATCTAATTTTGATGAAGTAATTACCTCCTTTGAGTAAAACTTGACAGTAGTTTAATATCAAAATACCTGAAATGTAATGGCAACAAAACTTACAGGTATAAGCATGACTTCACACATACCTATCAGATGATATTTTAAATTCCATTTAAAGGATTTCCTTCATTTTTTCTGGTAAATAAAGTGTTTATGAATCAACAAAAGCCCACTTGGCATATATAGTGTATAAACTGTTAAACTGCAGTGCATATTAACAGGTGCAAAAGAAGAGTATGAATGCAAGCTACATTTTCTGGTTTTGCATATTTATGTCAAAAGCCAATAAATACCCTCCCTTCCCCCCCCCAATTGGTATGAATACAAAAAGTGTACTTACTTTTTACTTTCTTGTATTCTGACTACAGAAGTAAAATATAAACCATGCATGCACACCTAATCTATTACCCATCTTTATACACAGGGAGCATATATACACTGCTGGATCTTAGCTGAATCAGACTTCAGTTACTAAATGGGATTATTTCAATATAGGTATACCACACAACTTCTGCTTAGCTAGACGCAGGTGAAAAGAAAAAGAATAAATGTATTTCACACTGAAAATACACCTCTGTCAAAGTAGTGAGACCTCCTTGTTCTGCTATACTCCAATTTATTCCAAGTAACCTTGCTAATTCAGATTCCAATCCTTCCAAGTTAATGGTAGTATTCAGAGTAAGACTTGCCTATCGATCTCTATTGCTTGTTATAAGAACTACCTTGTGTAATGGTAAGTGCTAAGGTTCAGATCCTGTTACTGATTCTGGGGACTTCCTGTTCAACCTGACAAATTGAACTTTTATGTTTATATTCATCAATTTTCTAAGCTACAAAACCAACAGCTTTATTTTTTAAAACAGCTCAATGAACCCAAATTAACTAATGGCTACATGCTGCTGAGCTTCTTTAAAGGAAGCCTTAACAGGAACTGCAATGTGTCATCATCGTTCAGAAACTATGAAATTAGCATAAGAACCTGGTAGGTCTAATTTCTATTCTAACCCAAAGTATTAGTAACATTTTAAGACATTTTAACCTTCGCAGAGCAGCAGACCAGCTGCATATTAAAAGCAGTACCTCCCTGCATGTATGAAGCAGAAGCATTAGACACTGGTGCAGGGAACAAGAAGGGTAAAATAAAAAATGGTAAGATGGAAATGTGACTGTAAAAACACAGATATAAAACTTCGGCTCTGATATATCAAAATCTCTTAGTTCTAAGTAACTACAATGAAATTTGACATTACTGCTACACTCTGGGTTTGTACCCCTTTTAGATGAAATCATTAGAAGAACTGATGCTATCAGATGTTTTAAGCTGGAGGAAGGGGAGGAAATAAAAACTCACCATAAGTCCTACTCTGGTTTTATTGCAGAAGCTCTTCCTCTTTGGTTTGATTACTAATTCTAGAAGCTAATCACAAAGCAGAGCGAGGAGAAAGGTGAGAGAACAAACACAGGAACCCTGCAAAGAAACCCTATACTACTGATTTATATCCAAACAGGCAGTGGTAGCTTTCACTAGCTATACACATAGCTTTCCATCATTCCTCCTTAGGAGGATGACTGACAACAAAGACATAGTGAGCCTCAAGGGGTCAAATACTCTCATGATCACCAAGAAATCTGGAGAGCTTCAGAAAGAAGCAGCAGCAGATACAGAAAGGCACTGCATAAACACAGAACAGGACAGGTTGGAAGGGACCTTGAAAGATCATCTGCTCCAACCTTTTGTGTGAAAAGGTTGATAAATTAGTAAATTCTTGTAGCACATACCAATATCTGGATTGAAGATTTCTTCCACAACCAGTTGAAAAAATTCTTTGGAAACACCTCCTTCATCTACCCCTTGCTCTCCTTCAAATTCAACATACAATTGCTTCTTCAAGTCTGCAGGATTTTCCATGGCAATCATCTCTAGCTATTGAGTGAACAGACAGAAGTATTTAATTAGTAAATCTGTTTACCAGAAGAGTCAATTGAGTATCAAATAACGAAATCAAAACTACGCTCCAAACTTAAGAAAGCAAATATAAACCTCAGCAGCAAAATACCAGAAACCAATTGTAATGCTATATCACTCTAAGCCTCTATCAGAATTTGGGGATTAACACAGCAAGAAACTTACCACAGATCTGATGTTAGCCAATTAAGACTGTTAGCATTCTCCATTTCTATTCTTTTAAGCACTTATTTAAAATAAGTTAGCATTGTGTTGCACAGAATTCACAGAAAACAGTATGAAAACAAGATTTATTAATGGGATAATCAAATTCATCTGACAATGAAAACAGACTGCAATCTGATCTACGTTTGACAACAAATGGTTTTGTGAAGGGATTACACATACGTTTTCAGAGTGAACGACAGAAGACAAGCCTTTGACTAGTAATTGCATCTCACAGAGAAAGAGCTGAAGAAAAAAGACAAAAACCAGAACACCCCAGAAATTAGAAGACACTAATATTACAGTCAAATTGGTCTCCTTTCCTCTTGACTCTAATGAAGAAGTCTCAGAAATCTCTTGCTTATTTCTTCAGTGCCTTTAAACAGATCTACTGCACTGCTTCCATGAAAGTGAATATTCAGTTAAGGTCAAATACCAGTTATAACATCTCACAGGAAATGACTTCATGTCCACATAAAGGCCATTACATGTCTTTTACAACAAAAATGTATCTTTTCAGTTAATCAAAAGTTATGCAAGAATACCTTGCAGCTGATAATATGCTGCTTAAAAGAATAAATATATTGGTTAAATCTGTGCAACATTAAACATGTCTTTGTGGCAAAGAAGAAAATGCAACAGCAGTAAAGCACAAATGGACCTGTGCATTCCTCTACCAAGATTGTATTACTGGTGAGATTTGCCTCTAAGCCGGACTACTGCAACCTGTACTTACCACCAGGTGTCCTTAACACACCGGAACACTTCTGCTCCACTACCCTACCTTATCCACACACACAAGCCAACACAATCTTTACATCCCAGAGTTTTACTACACAACTGTAAAGGAGAACAGGAACAGAACAGGGAGGATAAAGGTAGCAATAATCACACCATCAACTCAAAATGACACCACCAGTAAGACACATCTTCTCCTGGTAACTGCCAATCAGCCAGCCCATGTTTCAAGCAGCACAGCAGGGCAGATGTGAGACAGTGCTAAAGGTAGTTAGCATTAACAGCTCTGGAGACTCTGAAGCTCCTCATGCAAAGAGAGCATGTGGAGAAAACTGCACAATCTGGAACTGAAAACTAGTGTCGGAAGGAAACAGAGTGTAACTTCAGATCATATAAAGCTCAGGTAAAAAAAACACCACCACCAAAAACCCCAAACCAAAACAAACAACAGGCAAACCATGAAGACCCCAATAAAGACGGCAAGTCAGATCAGTTGATTGGGACTGATACTGTTACAAGATCACCTGGAAAACATAGTTATGTAATACATAAACCATTTGGTATTCTATTGCATACTAGTTGCAGTGGTGGCTTTGCCTTTAAGGAGACCAAATAATACTTATTCTTTGAAATTCACTGTAATTTTTATCAACAATACTTCTGCAACAAAACTATGTTGTGGTGTGCATCCCCTGCCCTGCTATTCTCATCACATGCTTTCCATAAAATGTAATCTTTTATCTTGTAAAATCATGAAAACCTTAAAATTATACATCTTACAGATATGCAAGATCTTTTCTTCCTGAACAGGGCAACAATGGAGCTTAACCCATGTATCAAATACAACTGAGATTTTCAAAACAGAGAAGTAGCATTTATTTTAAGATCCTCAATACTCATTATACATTCAAGCTGGACAGACAGTTCTCCTAGTTGAGTCTCTTCCATTTACAAGTGGCACTAATAATGGCTCGTTTTTTTTTCTCCCCAGTTACAGCTATTGGCTGTGCAGTATACAGCATCAGCAGTTTTCTATTTTGCAATTTTCATGAATTTTGAGGAGTTCTGAAAAAGCAAGTATTGCCTTTGCATGTCCTTTGGGACAGCAACCCTTTGTCGTAAAGGCTCTTTTGAGTCATAGAAATACACTTCTACTAAGAGGAGTTCTCTAATTTATAAATATGAAGCAATTAAAAATATTTCAAAAATGATTTTTTTGCTGAAAACTACCCTGCAATGAGTGATGCAAAAGAAATGCAGCATTTAAAAAAAAGGGGGAAGGAAGCACTTGCAGTTCAGCAACACTGGCTAGACATATTGGAACAGTGCACTGGATGTCTGTGAGGGAGTCAGAAAAAGGATTACCAGAAAGCTAGCATTTTGAGTGAAAGCCTAATGTTCGTTGAAGTAGATTCTATAACCAGGACAATGTTGCTAAGCTGCTCAACTGCAGGTTGTGGGTTTAGCTCCCCTTTGAACATCTTGTCTCAACACTGACATTCCATAAGGAAATTGGAACTGAGTGGAAAACACAGCATTAGTCATGATTGTAGAGAAGCACTAATTTTAGCAGAACTGCAGCAGTGTTTCTGTAGCAAGGACATATGAACTTCAGAAATACATTACACCAATATGACATTAAAAAGCCTGATGTAACACCAGAGTTTGACTACCTTCTTAAAACTGATGGTAGCTGAACTAATTTCTATTCAGTTAAAAACAGTCAAAAACCCCTTCAAGTTCTAGTAATGTAACATAAAAGTTCTCTTTCAGGAGGAATCTTTTCCCCACTAGAAGGCAGAAATGACATGAACACAACTAACTCAATTTTGAAAGTACCAGTGACACGTCATGACAAGTCCATCACTACATTTTTCTGAAAACCAGCATGTGAAGTAATACTTCAAATGACTAAGCAGCACCCTTGCCAGCTGTACTTTATGGTTCATGTATATGCTTGAGTGGGGCTTGCATGTGTCAACACAGTCACACACATTCTGCATGCAACCAAGATGTACTGGTGCTGAGATTTTCAACAGGACACACATACATCACCTTAGTTCTAAAAGAACCAAAAAGGTCCTTAAGTACTTTGTTGCTAATACACTCTGAGAGAATCTGCCTACTAGCTTCAGCTGTCACATAAGAGTTCATGCTTATCAATATATTCAGCAGTCATTTACAAGCTAGAGGCCTGCTGCCTGCCAGCTATCTATGTTCCATGTGAAATTTGTCAAACTGAATTTCTAATTTGTGAGCAAGTACCAGCCAGACTCTGATGAAGGAATCCACCACATTTTCACTTGCACAACTTGTGTGTTGTAGCTCACACCCATTAAATTACTGCTATCTGAGAATAAATCCACATACAAATAGCTGTTGAGTGATAAAAAGGGGATGATGAAGAGTGGATTTAAGGATAAATTTCCTTTCAATACTACCACATCCACATAACATGATGCAGCAGAAGTACAGCTGACCTCTTAAACTTGTTAGATGCAAAAAGGCATATTAACTGCTTTCAAAAACTGCAAACTGAGCTACCAACTCCCAGATGTAAGGGCTCCTTAACAAATATGGGGACTAGCGCTTTACCAATTCCAAAATTCCTCACCCCAATGTCTTTTCAGATTAACATACATACAAGTATACAACAAATACGTAATAGAAAGCAAGCATATTTCATTATGTCCATTTCAATGTAAAAAAAAGAAAAAGTTTCTGATGCAAGTTTCATACATGCAAAGAAACTGAACAATGAATGTGCAAATAGTTTTTGCTTAGATGTACATGTTTCAGAGTGAATTGCGGTTCTCTTAATAACCGACTCTTAACAACTTACTGCATTAAAATGTATTGCTTCAAATTCTCAAGAAAAAATCCTGCAGTAATAATAATAAACATCACTTACCAGTGCTCATATTTGTTTTAATGAAGTACAGTGAGATGTACACACTGAATTCTAGAAGTTTAAACATTAAATATTGATAAGAGAAACCCAGCTTGGTGATCACTCAATTATCTCGATCAATTAGGAGAGAAAGACTGGTATCATCCATTTGCAAGAAGAAATTATACTGATGTATTTGCTTGCAAAATATCCAGCATCAATAAGGAAAATATGAATAAGAATCTCAGCCTCATTTTAATAAATACTCATGAAAATGCTTTTATCGGGAAGTTCTCAGAGTTATTCCATATACAGCCTGCACTGACTGTTCTGTGAAGACACAAGTCTAGTGATCCGAGTATGTAATTACTTCAAAGTCTTTAAGTATTCAAACTCCAGAAATAAAAAATACAATTCAAGGGTAAAAATATTTGTAATCCTAATTACTTACCTGTAATTTAAGCACCTTTAGAAATGTTTTGCCACTAGACAGATCTAAGAATACGCTTTCACTGCTTAAGAATATTATCTTGGCAGTATCTTTCTGATAGTTTTCCCTTCTGAAGTTTAGTAGTGCACCCAAACCCACAACCATTACTGATACAAACTTCCACAGTGTAGCTTTCACTTAGGTTTTATGCTGTCAGTGCATGGTACTATCTTTGACTAGAATCACTGGCAGAACAAGTAACTTTAAGGATTAGTACTCAAGACTGAAGACTTATTTCAGACCAATTAGGACATGGTAGTGAAGTTTAAAGATTACTAAAATCACTTCTCAATCTGCTACAGGAAGCACCTGTAACAACAGCATTCAATTCTTAGATCAGGCACTCACAGAAGAAGCTGTGAGACGATACCATGGAACAGCACTTTCCTTACAACACTCTTCCAGCAGATTTGCAGCCTAGAGACTTTCTGAGGTTTGTGCATTGGTCACAACGAAATACCTATAATGCCCATTACTTTTAGATGGATCTTTCTTTCATAAAAAGCTACAAGTTCTGGGCAAGGACATCCACAATTTTAAGGTAGTCAGGTAAAGCTGCTTGTGTTAAGCCTGCTTCTTGATAATATGAGCAGGTGCTATGAGTTAAGAAAACCAGTATTCCTCATTCCATTTCTTCATGCCATCTTTTATGTACTCTCTGTCATCTTTTTTACCACTAAGAGGCCTTATAGTCTTTCTGAAGAGACTCTAGACTCTCCTAATTCATTTCTATTGCATTGTTTTTGATACTAAAATGAGAAAAAACAAATGAGAGACAGACATAGGCACACTGTAGTAGACACAGGCAATGTTTACTACATGTTCCATTTGGTCCTTTCTTAACTCCTAACACTTCTTCAGGAATACCCAAAAATGTCCTTCTGAGCACCGATACTTCATATCATCAGTTAAAACGTTATCAATAGCTAAAAGGTGACTCTGCAGACCCCTTACATATATTTATCAACACTCTTTTTTCTTAATGCCATCATCTTACAACAGTTACCTTGTTGCACCTGTTTGAAACGGCATATACTCTCTGGCAAGAACAGCAAGCCTTCACTCCATTTTAGTGAGCATTTCCTGCAAGAAATTCTTGGGCTGCACAGTTCAGCTCAGACTACTTGAATTTAGAACAATTTTATCTTTCTCTTTTATTTTCTGTTCCAGAATAAACAGTTTTAAAATCTTACTCTTCTTGAGGCTTTGACAAGAGTCAGATCACCATAATTGAGCATGTTCTGACAGCTTAAATTAACAGCCGTAAGAGGATCCATGGCAACTGCCCAAACATGTATTCGCAGACTGCTAGGCTGTGCAAGGGCTCCTGCAAGGACACCACAAATTAGTATGTTTGAGCTTAATTTGATTTAAATTACCTAAATTTCCAACAGACCAAGAGTGTGCGCAGCAGTAACTGCTGTGACCCCATTGTGATACAGCAGCTGCACTAACTTCATGTTGCCCATGTGCCTTCTGAACAACAATAACATTTTTACTGTCCTCAAAGATTTCAACTTCCTTCCAGAGCAAGCAATACGTGTCCTTTTCTCATATTTACAGATTTTCTTCTCCATCATGAGCATGAAGAGGAAGGTTTGCTTCCTCTCTGCTAGAACAGACATCAAATCAAACATCTCTCCAAAACTAGCTCTTATCCTTTTTTAGCCCATCTTCTCCTAAAGGGATAATACTATCCCTCCCTTTTTTTCCCCCAGTATTTATGTATCAGAAAGCTGAACAGTCAATGTAGGCTCCATTACTTTAATGTGCCAAAACATAACAGGATACAACTGTACTATGGGCCCTGATGGGATGCACCCACAAGTACTGAGGGAGCTGGTAGATGTTATTGCTATGCCACTCTCTATCACCTTTGAAACAGCATGGCAAACAGGAGAGGTGCCCAATGACTGGGGAGAAGATAACAACACCCCAGTCTTAAAAAAATGCAAGAAGTGGAACCCAGGAACCAACTGGCCAATCAGCCTAACCTCCATCTCTGGAAAGGTGATGGAATAGCTCATCCCTGTGATCCCGGATGTCACCTCCAAGTATGTGGAGGACAAGAAGGTTTATTAGGAGTAGTCTGTGTGGGTTCACCAAGGGGAAATTGTGCTTGACCAATCTGATAGCCTTTTATGATGGAATGACTGGCTGGGTAGATGAGGGGAAAGCAGTGGATGTTGTCTACCTTGACTAGGATTTTGACACTATCTCCTGTAACATCCTCATAGGTAAGCTCAGGAAGTGTGTGTTAGATGAGTGGCCAATGAGGTGGCCTGAGAATGGGCTGAATGGCAGTGCTCAAAGGATTATCATCAGCGGTGGAGCCTAGTCAGAGGACTGTAGCTTGTGGTGATCCCCGGGGGTCAGTACTGGGTCTAGTTTTGTTCAATTTACTCATCATTGGATGAAGGGACAGCATACCCTCAGCAAGTCTGCTGATAATGTAAAACTGGGAGGGATGGCAATTCTCAGGAAATAGCTAGCCCATCTGGAAATTCATAGGTACACAGAAAAATCAAGGTGGGAGCTCATTTAGGGCTCTCACAATTGACCTTCAGCAGCAGTTAAAGTCATCAAATTTAACTAAAAGTAACTGAGCTGAGCTGAGAGGCAAAAGGAGATACTTTTCCAGAGTTTCTCTAAACACCTGTCTGGCTCTTCAGCAAGCTTTAAAGCTATATTTGAATTTCCAATTTTGCAAACAGTGTTGTGCTTTAATAACAGAACACAGAAAAATGAGCTTCTGAGAAATAACAGCTTTTAAGTGAAAAACTAGAAGTAGGAAAAGTCCTAAAATTAAAGGGCAGATTTACAGGAAAATTTTCTGTGAAGTATTCTTTATAGTTTGTATCCTCCGTAAGTCCCATCTTCCAAAAATGTGTGAACAAATGGGTTTTACTTTAGGAAGCCAGCATATTCAGAAACAACCTGCTCTCACAGCTCTCAGGTACCAACAGGTCTGTTCTCTTTCCTCAGTCATACCAGTATTTGCACCAAATTGCAACAACTCTTAAAGTGAGAAGTTCTACTTATGCAGGCACTCCACATTTTACATCTCAAAATTCAGAAGTCCACAACAAGAGTACACAACCGAAAAGTTTTAATTCCAATCTCCATTTGAAAAATTCTGCTATCAGAAGATGATCCAAGACACTCCACAGGACAAAGGAAAAGTACCAAAACATAAGAGTAAGTTGTAACTGCAGAATCTGTTAATGGGGAGTAAGAACTATTTGACACTTTAAAATTCCTAAGTCTGCAATCACCCAGAGTAGAAGCAGTTCTGCTTAACATACAAATCTTCAGCAGCACGTGTAAAATTCAAATTTAATATGGTAAAGCTATCTGAGTTTCTTCTAGAGGAAATCTAGTACATAAACCACTGCACACACACAGTCCTTTTCAGTAAGTCAAAGCCCACATAGTTCGCAGTAGTCAGAACCAACAACGTTAAGTTCCATGTTGTTGCATGACTTACCCGGACAAGCGCATCATCTATGATGTGATCACGTCTCACTTTAAGTCGCAAATATGGGTTGAGCTGCTGTCCTTGAACTAAGCTGTAGAGCACAGTTATGCGTCTTTCACTGTACATCCGGATTCTGTTGTCATAATACAATCCCAGGTTCTTGGTAACAGCATTCAATATGAAGGGGCAGGTCATAAAAGAGAATTTATTTTCTGTTTCTACTTTGAAGAAAGTGTAGTCTTTGTCCATTTCTAGAACATCATTCAGTGGTTCATTAATAAATTCTTCAAATGGGATAAGCGGTTTTCTGCAATCTATAGTTTTAACACCAAGTTCAGTTTCCAGTGGGTCCACTCGAGGACCTTTTTTATTTCTTCTTTCCTCACCCAAAAGCTCTTGAAGTGTTAGTTCACTTGATTCTGGGATGGGTTCTTCATCTTCCTCTTCATTATGATCTGTATCCACATCCCCTCCTACTACATTTGCATAGTAAACCATTTTCAAGCACTTTGAAGCAGCAACAACAGCATCATCATCATTCACTAGGTTACGACTACTGAACTCATTGCTTATGACTTTGTAAGTAATAAGTTGCTGAAATGTTTCCATCATTCTCCGAATTTGGTCTGCTCTGTACTTAGACCACAATCTGACTAGTTTTGCTTGAGCTGCAAGGGGCAGTTTGCTCATTGCTTTGCAAAACAATGGTAGAGCCATTTCCAGGTATTCTGGGCTATGAAGATTGCCATTCTCCATAACGATAATAAACAAATTCAGATAGTTAGGATCCCGAGAGTACACATTATGGTAAGTCAAGTCACATTCCACATTAGGTGACAAGTACACAAGTGCATTTAAAAAGGCAGTTTCTATTTTTTCGTTAGACAGTAATCTATCGTAGACCCGTCTGACTGCTTCAATATCTACAGACACTTCATCTGGACCTAGTTTTTGGAGGTTATTATCTCCCTGTGTGTTATCACCTATTCTTGATGATGAAGATGATGATGCACCTGAATCTTCTTCCATAGCAGCAGCCGAACAGGCAGCTTTTTCCTTTTCATCTTCATCTTTGTCTTCATCCTTTCCTTGAAGAGACTTGAGCTCCTCCTTCGTGTGCTGCTTGGCTTTTCGGAAACTCTGTACTAGTGCTTCAGCACTAGAAAATACTCTCCCAATCACCCGGATTAAAGGGGAATAATCCTCTTTCTCCCGACATAGTTCAAGAATTTCATATATCTTGTCTTCTGTTAGAAAAGTCACATCTATAAAAAGACAAAGTATTAATTTTGTTGAGATAAAATACTTCTGATTTGCTCTTAATGTGTATCATCATTAACACCAGAAAAAAAAAACCCAAACCAAAACAGTGTCAGTGTTGGATAAATTTAAGACAGATACTTTATAATTTCATTAGCATGAAGAATCATGATTTCATTCACTATGATTATGTAAAACATCTTATTTATGGATGTCGATCCCTGATAGAGAACATGCTCAACAGTAAAACTGTTTTGCAGCCAATTAGCAGCATTTGGTAGTTAATATTTTATCATATAAACAAGAGCAACTAAATCAATCACTAAGATGTTTAATCTTTGAAAGACTTAATGAATACGACTCTGTGACAACACAGTCTTCTGGTAGGTCTGCACAGTTAATGTGTAAGTCATTAAGCTATATACCAACTAAACTGTATCAATATCTTTTTTCAGACACAGCAGATATGCATGGACTTCACACATTAATTCTCCCTTAGAAGTAGACTTTTAAAAAAAGATCCAATAGTTAGTTTTGTTGAATTTTAATGGGAATATGAGATCTTACTTTTATTTTTAAAGCTTTCTGCAACTGTTTTTATTCTGAACTGATGCCTGAAAATCCTCCCCAAAACCACAATACATGCTCAGAAATTTATGCTGCTTCTAAATTACACAGTTGAATATGTGGGTTATTTCTTTGTACATTAGGCCTCAGAGAGACAAACATCTTGAGTATACTCATCAACATACTATTCAGATGAACCAGCTGGTTTACATGCATCATCTGCATGCACTCCAAATACCTGCCTGTTGCCACCTCTCCCCCAAACCCCTGATATTAAAGTTCTTTCTTTAATATGAAATCTTTCTTCTTTTTTCTAAAGAAAAAAAGATTTATATCTTTTCTATGCTTCTTCTCAAACAGAACCCACAGATTCTCTCACATCAGGTGATGATTTAGAGTAGAATTACCACATGATCAGACCCTGAAAAGATGTTCTAGTTTAAGCAGATTCTTCTGAACTGACACATAATTCAGAGCTAGAACAGAATCTGTTTAATAGCATCTCTGGAGAGCTAAGAAACGCTCATCACAGCACTGTATTCACTAACCATGCTAGATCAACTACCTGTGCAGAAAGAAGGAAGTGTATAATTTTAATAAAGACAGTTCTATGTTAAAAGTATTTTGAAATGTGACTGCCTACACTACTATTCATTCCAAGCAGTCATTAAATTAAAAATACAAACTAAATGATGCCAAGACAGACAACCTATTGATTTCTGCAGATTCCTAAGCCATTGTTAGAGCACATACAACACAGGAAAGACTAAGCTTATGTCACGGTACTGAAATTGACTTCCAACCAATTCAAAGACAGTGAAAAAATATTATGAAAGGATTCAAGCTTAGCGCAACATCTCCTATTTGTACCTGCTGTGGTGCACGTTCCAGAAGCAAACTTGACTAAAAGAAAATTAACTGCTGATACAGATGCTATTTCATGCCATAGCTCTTCAAAATGAGGGCCACAGCCTCAAGTTCACTAACACTGGATTGCATAGGTTATTCACAGCATAAAAATTATCAGCAGAAGTTGACTATTTAACAGTATATTACTCTTCAGATTTCTGTACTCACAACAGGAATTCCCCAGTCATTCTTTTAAACGTTTCAGTATTTAGTATTAAAGAATCTAGCCATGTGCTATTTCCAGATAAAATATTTAGTATTACCATTAGCAGTTTCATAACAGTTCTAAATCGTATCCTTCGACCATCCTCTGAGCTATCAGAAGAGTCTGCCCCATTTTTACTTTACAGTAGTGAGAACAAATGTAGTATAGCACAATACAGCAGCGAGAGAATAACAAATGTATAGTGAAGTTTTCTTCTACCTCAAGTCAATTTTAGTCAACTTGTGTGTGGATATGTGAACTTTTACATGCCTTCTCTTCTCACCCTTCCTATTACAACTAAGCGATCCAGCAAAGTAAGTGTATCTCTTCTGATCCTTGGTCTCAGTAATACTCCATGACAAATCTGTACATGAAGTCACGCTTTAGCCATGATCCTTGACTCTGAGAAAGACTGCATGTGGCATACATACTGCCAACAACACTCCCCAGTTAACAAATTTATTAATTATCTTTTCATTATCCCTTATGGAAACTTTGTTATGATTGTGCGCTCACTGCCTGTCCACCGATGTTCTCTGCTTACAGTTCCACGTTTTGGACAAACATTACTTTCCACAAGTTGAAAAGATTTTCCCAGGTAATAATGACACAGATTTTGAAATGGCACTCTCTCTCTCTGACTACATTTGTTACGCATGCTTTTTTATAGTTTTATGATTTGATAATTCCCTTCCTCTTTTTGGACAGCCATCTAAGATATTACTGACATACTGACAACAGCCTACAGGTACATTTTTCTCCACGTAATAGTCTTAGGGCTTAGCACTACAGAAAAGTAATTTAAATTATTGATTCTGAAGGTTATTTCTTCTGTTTTATTTAGAACTTTCAATTCTATGTCAAGCATAAAAGCAAGCTGCATATCTTCTTCCTTGGCTTAGCTGCAGTTTTCACAGTAACTGTTACTGCAGATGGATTTAAAAAAACCCCAAACAATTCAGAGTGCTGAATTCCTTAGACATCATCCAATTCCAAAGGTAATTAAGAGTCTCCAATGGCCTTTAAGAATGCATTAATGATCTCTGTCCATATAGCTACAAAGACGGGTCAATAATTGAGATGCTGCAACACATCAAGTCTGAGTCACTGCTTCAGACAACAGACTGACTCTGCAAATGGTTTGAGAGGACTCTTAGACATCTATCTTGGGGAGAGAGGACAGCATGATCAGAACGAAGGAGGAAAGTTCTGTACATAGACGCCTCCATTAAAAATACACAAAATCAAGAGACAAATCACAAAACAGACCTAATGTTCCTCTTGCCCACCTCACAATACACTGGCTTCCCTTTCCCCTACCTACTGTTTGTCTCTCTGCTTACTCAGATCATAAATAATTTCAGAACAAATTTATCTGTGCATCAGATAAAGAACAAACAGATGCAGGTAAGTATTGACTGGAGCATCTTACAACACAGTACTATGTTTATTGCTGATTCTGTAGGACTTCTGAATTCTTTCCTGTAAACAGTTTCACCTTCTTTAGAGTGAATGAATCTGAACTTCTGTGTTTATACCACTTACAGCAATGATACTTAAAGGTCTGCTCAAAGGTTAAGGGCTTTAATTTCATTTAGCTTCTGCTTGCACCACGGGTTTTGACAACACTAGTATGTATTTACTATCCTATAGAGTTTAAAAAGCTAACTAGAAGTTATAAAAGACATACAGAACAGTTTTTAATTTTTGTACATTGGCTTAGAAATGACTTTGCTTAATTTTTAGCTTGGTCGAAGTACTGCCTTATCATCCACTGTATCATTTTTTCTTCATCTGTTTCTTAACAGAACTGGAACTAGTTAAAGCATAACCTTTATAACTCATTAACTACAGAAGAGTTGTGAAACTAAAGCAGACATACAACAACATTTTAAAAAAACAATCTCTCCATATTTGCAAATCCAGTTATCTCAGAAAGCAACAAATGCACATGGATTTTAACAGGGACATGGTAAAGATACAGATTTAGAATCAGCATTAATCCAACCATTTTTCAGATTCCACAGTAAAATATCCGATTGCCCAATATTGTATTTTAAAGTCAGCAGAAACCTCCCGCATTCAGCAGAACACCACCACACTGAACTCCGTTATTATGCATATGAAATGTATTTTACTGAAAAATAACTAAAGTAACTTCTTACCTTTAAAGTCATCTCTCGGGCCTTGCATTTCCTTCTTGTTCATTTTTCTGTCAGTGCAGGAATTGTTATGGGCACCTTTGGAATTGTTTTCTAGGTAAGCTGAGCTCGTTCCTTTCTTGGAGGGATGAGGATCACAGAGTTTTGCATTAATCTTATAAAGCTCGAGGGCCTTAATGGCTGCTGCATTGTTATCCATACGGAGAAAAGTTGGACAGGAAGCACAAAATTCATTCGTGCAGGCTTCATTTCCACAGCCCTCAGTTAACTGGTGGTAGTAGCGCTCTATTAGATGCTTTGCAGCTGCTCGCTTCCTGTAGCAAACATTCAAACAGTAAGTACAAGGATTAGTAGAGCTTTCATACACAAAGCTCATTCAAAAGCATCAGCAAGGCAGAGATTAGTCAGGCACCGAAACACAAGATTTCTGTGTCAGAAAGGACACATCAGGAGGGTTTTTAAATGCAGGATTCTCATCTTGACAAATGCAAGTATATTTAACACAATTTAATTTGTGGGTCCTACCTAAGTGGAAGGTAAATCCTACTTATGCAGTTTTCAGCTTTACATTTTAGCGCTACAGTGGACACAATCTTGTTCAGTTCTGAACAATCTCAATTATCACTAGAAGAGAGACCAATTCAGATGCAAAGCAAGGCTTCAAATGAAGCAGAACCGGATCTCACACAGGTGATTAAGTCTGATGTATAGTACTGAGGTAGATTGCCACTGACAGACAGAGGGAAGAGATATGAAATACAAACAATTCAGGCATTTATTTAGTAACACTATCAATACTACACCAATACCATCTAAAGCCTTTAAAAATCTAAACCATTTTTTAAACAAGACTCCAGATGAATTAAGGTTTCAGATATTTAGTCTGTTTAAATCTGTAGGAAAAATATTGCCTGGTTAATTAAACTGATGACAAAACCACAACCACAGATGAGCTCAAGGTTGAATGTAATTCCCCTCGGCTTAATAAGGTATATGGTTCTCAAAAAAGCTATTCACCCAATCCTCTCCTTTCTCCTGCAATTATACATGGCAAGTATGTATGCTGAAAAATTACAAGTGCATTACTATACAAGTCACTGTGCTCAGTACTATATATACACACAAGAAAATTTAACTGGCCAATTACTAAGGTCACAGACTTATGCAGAAACATGCAAATAGTAAAGAAATCACTGGAAAGCTGTAGGTAACTGGGACAGAAGCAGCTGCATGCCGCACCTAGAGTGACATATTTGATCACATTTTGGCAAGAAATGAAGTTTTTGGGGTTTAAGAAAACAAGTTATTAATGAAAAATACCAGATATGAAACATTTCAAACATTTTTATTAGGTGAAACATGGGAGCTTTTTACCTAATTTTAGTGATACGGTACACTATAAAGATTAGAACTTGTGAAGCAAGATTTTAATCAGAAATTATGTTAAAGTTGCCTCTTCTAATGTTGACGCATGCATAAATTCTGCACAGAATAAGCATGAGAGAACTGAAGGGCTAGACCGACCGGTACTGCTCAGTACTCTAGGTCTTAATACTGCTTGGTTAAATATCACGAGTTTCAATGTAGCCGCTTTAGAAGCGAAAATGTCTCCAAGTTCTGAAAGTAACTATCGAGCCATGTATTATTCAGCAATAACACCTTTACTCCTTCCTTTTCACCCTTCAGTATCTCATGAGCCTAGGGAAGAAAATACTTCTTACAAAGAATATCATTACCTTCATGTCTACTTGACCTTCCAAATGCGCCAGTGCATTCCATGACAAAAAAAAAAAAAAATAAATAGGGAAGTTTCCCTGGCACTTTGAGAGGGAGGAGAAAGATCATAAAAAAAATATAAATAAAAAATGCAGCACGAGCAATACCATCAAAAGCACCACTGTATAAACAGGGAATAGCGGCATTCTGATTGAAGGAAAAGAGTTCTAGCCTCTCCCATTTTTATATGTAGACTCAAAACTTGTGTTTCTCCATGTACTCATAAAAATGCAAGGGTTTTCTGATCTTGTCTTTCATACTTCAGCCTTCAGGACAAAGGCTTTAAAAAAACCCACAAAAAACAAACATGTGTTTTAATACAGCTTAGACCAGTACATGATTTTGCAAACATCTATTTCTGAATGACAAGATTCCATGCTTTGATCATTGCAGTCATTCCAGACCTTCAGATTTATAGTGTGAGATATTGTCATTTGTAAGCAGGTAATTATATCATGTGAAAACCTTCCTTTGTTAATACTGAATTTTTACACTTGAGCTATGGCCACCCGTCTCTCCAAAATGCTCCTTATTTACTCCTCTTTCAGTCTCTCCTATGCATACAAAATGGTCATTATTTCATATACACGTTACCATGTTATCCTTCCATCTTACTCCTCCACTGCAGTCTATACATAGATCACAATTTTTTTGCCATAATCTTCTGACCTATGTAATACACCCACAAACATTACATGGATTATTTCTCAGAGCTGTTCTAAGTGTGGGTATTTCTATAATGTGTTGTATATATCTCTGTGTGTGCATGTATAAAAAGGGGTATTTAAGAAGTTAAAGCAGCTGGAGTTGTTATTCAGATCAAATATATCATGAAAAGCTTACCAATACCTTAAGAAGGGAGAACTTACATTTTCAAATCGGAGAAATTGTTAACTCTTGCAGAGGTGTGCACACCTTTCTAGCTTGCTTATCTCGTCTGAATAAAGTTATTTTAATGCATAAACACTGATATATTAACAACAAATTTTAATGTATTAAATGACACTTCAATGACATCCGGAGATGCCAGGAGACAAAGCTAAGCTTTGACTTGTCTCTAACAGTTAACTTCTGAGGGACAGGATATTTTGCTTCCAATATTTAACCACCAATTACTTCTCAAACTGTGCCATGCCTACAATAATGCTGTTTGTACAAACATTTTCATTTTGACTTGTAGCTGCGGACTCACTGCCTCAAGTTCTGTGAAATTCGATCAGAGACAGAAGTCTGCCTGAAAGCTCAGTTTTTCTTTTCTGTTCTTTTTTTTTTTTAATCAGCTAATTAAATGTCTTCCCACCTCTTCCCAGTGGGCTGTTCCACAGACTTTAGCATGGCCTCAGATAAATTTTTTAAGTAAATAAAAAAGGTCATACTCAAAGCAAGGATACAGACCTCAAAAGGTAGAAGGGAATTTACTGAGCCTTCCACAAGAGCTACCCTTACTGAGCTCCATCCATGAAAGCACTTACAGAGAACGCAGCCTGAGTAAGCCAGTGTGTGATTTTACAGAACACTAAGTTACTCCATACAACATTCCCATTGGTACTTGACGAATTATTGTCAGTGGCTGGTGCCACATTTCCTATATTATTGAGAATAAAAAAAAAGAAAGTAGCATACCTTCCCTGCTCTCCAGAGGTGAAAACTTGATCGCTTTCTACATTCCCTTGCTCATTTAGGATGCAGAAAACTCAAGTTCTTAGCTTGAGACATTAAAACTGGGTCATTAAGCAAGGTAACATAAAACCTATCTCTATTCTTAGCTCATGCTACACAGTGAAGACTGCAGCTCCCTTTAAGATCCTATACAATGATCTAATGAAGATTAACTGGTCCCTTATAAATTTGATTACCAGTTTACTGTATGTTAGCACACAGACACCTCCTAGCGTTACTGAGGATTCAATGACTGACTGCCAAGACTCACAGTGCTGTTGCACATCCAAGTATGAAACTGCACCAGTGTGCAGTTGTAAACATTTCACAGGCATATCCTTATGGGCTAAAGATAACTTCTCACACACTGGGCCTTGAATAACCTCCTCAAACAAAGACACACTACTGCAGTGAAGAGGAAAGGCAACTAAAAAAGACATCACCTTCCTTCCCAAAGTCCAACAATTTCATGAGCATCATTTTTCCATTTAAAAATATATTAATATTCACTGACTTACTTTTGTAGTACTTGGGCAAAAAAAAAAAGCCTTTATACTATTTAATTGCTCTTTAACTAATAAAAAGCCAGGTGATAAATACTTTGCATTTGTAATTTAAATGCTGCCGAAACTGTGGAGTATCAAAAGAAACGTGCACCACAGAGCCTCTGCCTTTCAAAATACTTAGGCAAAGGTGGGCTGCATTTTGGGTTGTAAAGTCATTTCCAAATGTCTAAAACCTATACGAAACGAGATGGCATGCACTGGTTCAAAAGTTCCTATGTAATAGCATCGAATTTTCATTTCTCAAATTAAATACAGACAAGTACCACAAAAAGAAAACTATAAAAAGGAAACTTTTGTCACAGAAAAAAGAGGAAGATTTAAACATTTAAGGAATTCTAGAAAAAATGTGAAGCATAATTCTTTAGAGTCCACCTACAAAACAAAAATTTTTCCATCCAAATTTCAAAACTTGCCTGAAATAAAAAATAACTGCATAATTTTAGCTTTAAGTTTACCTAAACTTGAAACCTTCATACATATTTCTGATTGTTTTTTGCTTGGGACATAACTTTTATGTTATTTCTACAAAAAAGTTTGACATCACTCTAAGATGTGGAAAAAAAAAATTAAATAAAATATAACCAACCCCCCCCCAAAAACCCAAACTAATAACAAAAAAAAACCACAAAACAAAACACAACCACCAAAACCACAAACCAAAACCAAACAAAAAACACAACAAAAACATTCATGTATATGGAAACCAGAAGAAATTTATGTTTGTCTTCTGGGTAGGAAAATTCCAGGGAATAGATTTTTTAGTACTAATAGTAAACCAACTTTCAATATATTCCTTAACACAGAGGAGCATAAAGAGACTTCACACCTGCAACAATTATATACTTAGGATATTAAGATGACCAGCAACAGAAAGCTGTTAAAGTGTGGCTTATGGATGAACATCTGTCAAATACTGCTTTCTAAGAATTTCAGTTTCAAACCCTGCATGTTGGTTTCCTGCTTCTGTTTAGTTAAGAACAGCAATGTTAGAGAATATAAACTTCCCGTAAAAGCACTGCCCACACAGACCCTTCGGAGTTGCCTCCACACTGAACTGCCAAACACTCCACCCAGCGTTGGAGCTGAGTCCTCTGTTCCAGCAGTGTTGCAACATCCTTTGCCTGCCTTAGCTACTGCCACTTCAGCGAATGTACGCCTGCAAATGCACATAGCACATGGAGCTCACATTTTCCAAACCCCGTTCTTTCCAGTATAGAATAGAATCATAGAATAGTTAGGGTTGGAAAGGACCTTAAGATCATCAAGTTCCAACCCCCCTGCCATGGACAGGGACACCTCGCTCTAAACCATAT